GAGGAAAGGCAGACAAATGGTTACTGGTAGAGCAGTTTGAAAGCAAGCATGCTGTTTCTAAGTCACCAGTCCTGTGCTTTGGGCAGTTCCACTGCTCGTGTATTGGGGTAGTCTCCATAGTCCCTTATCAGTTGTACCCCTGAAATGGTCTGATCAGCATCTGAGAACACATACATCTTATTCTCAGAGATTCTCAGCAGCAACTTCCTTTACCCCAAAATACATAGATGTTACAGAGCTTGTAAAAGAGTTCCTGCTCAGCCTGACTTGTAGAATGTCAGGCATCTGTCCTTCATTCCCTCTGCCTGAACAGACACTTAGAACAGGATTTGAAAATGCAGCATCTCAGAACTATTGACTAGAGGAATATTCATTGTGTAGGACTAATACCAAAACACTAAGCATGAGTACCAGCTGTAAGTGAGCAGTCACATTGTTTTCAGGGGTTCAGAAAATCAGTGAGTTGTCTATTCTGTTATTAGAGGTATGGGGAACAGATTGGTGGAATCATGTGATGAATACGGACAGTAGTTTTGGCAGCCCACGTTCCCCCAAATATAAAATAAGCATTTATATATGTGATGTCACTCACATCACACTATGAAATGATGGATAATTCTAAAGAACCATAAAATTATGAATCAAGCATGAAAGGGAGAGAAAGTGAGATATGAACATCTACTTAAATGAATGCTATCAGAATGAAGGATTTGGCTTTCTAGTCTGTGGTTCAAATACATTTCTAGAAAAGAATGTCAATGCATATCTTCTGATGATCACAAAATATTTGTTAGATGAAACTTCATTACCATGTTCAAGATTATTTAGCATAAACTACAATAACATATGCTATATTAATTAAATACATAAGAAAACTATAAAATGTATACAATTAAGATTCCTAGCCTCTAAATATACTTCTAGAAATTTACCATTATACCAAGAATAAAGCAAGGGATTAAAAAAAACTATTAATGAAAAATGTCCAGTAATTAGAAGAAAATAAAGAAGAAACTGAAAAAGAATAACTAGGTATTCAGATGTTTGCTGACCAGTGCTATAGAAAGTGGGATATAAATGGCATTTAAATTTGTATCATAATAAATCATCATTATCTCAAGATTCTGAGCTTTGGTACAACATGTTCCAACTTAGGAGAAACACTACTCCTCATTCAAAACAAATAGATATCAGAGTTGAGAGGAAAACATAATGATATACTCCTTGGGAAGATATTGGTAAAGCTAACAATTGATGCTTCATACATGATATTTGGGTGAGGATAAAGGAAAGAAAAACTGAAACTTCATTGTTAAAGTTAACCTATTAAACGATCTGTTTTTGTTTGTTTGTTTATTTGTTTTTGGTACTAAGGATTAAACATGGATACTTAACCACTGAGTCACATCCCCAACTTATTTATTTATTTATTTATGGTTTTGATACAGGGTCTTGCTTGTTAACTTGCTCCGGGTCTCACTAAATTGCAGAGGTTGGCTTTGAACTTGTGATCTTCCTGCCTCGACCTTCTGAGCCTCTGGGATTATCGGCATGTGCCACCAAGCCTGGCCATGTCTTCTATTTCTATGTTTAAACAGATGGTTCCTAAAGCTATAACTTCTACCCTAATGTCTTACCTAAGCCTCTGTTTCCATATGCTCACTTGGTCATAGACACTTCAAACATAACAAATCCAAACCAGAGCAATTTTCTTTCTGTGGTCCTCATCTTAATTAATAACATTACCATCAACTCAGTTTGAAACCATTCTCCTTGAATCTCCTGTGTACTTTATAATTTCTTTCAATCCTGCTTCTGAAATTTCTTTACAGTTAATTTCCCCAGAACAGTGACTAAGTTTCCATCTTAATCATCTTTGACTGCCTTGTTGTGATAGCTTTCAGAATAGGCTTTCTTCAGTCTCTTGCTGCCACTGTGGACTCCTGTATTTCCATCACTGCTATTAGTCTTAACTCATGAAAAGCCTTAAGTGAGGCCAGGTTTACCACCTCTCAAAGGTAGCCCATAATACATTCACATACTGAATGAGGTCAATTTAATAATCTCTAAGATTGAGTTGCCAATCAAGGACTCAGGACTACCTCTACTGACACTGAGGTTGCTTATTCAAAAGACGATTCCTTTGCCCCACCACAAAATACTGACTCAGAATCTCCTGAGTTTAGACCCCAGAATTTTATTTTTGTGATCTCCTGCAAGTGTATGTGATACATATCTATTTTTTGGAAACTCTAAGATATCATTCAATTATAAGATTCAGTGATTATAGCATACTAGTAAGAGTCTAATTTGCTATTCACAGGGAATAATTATAAAAAGTATTTTGTGCAATAGCAGTTTAGCTTTGTGAAAACCAAACATAAATCTTTCTCAGTGTTTTGCATTAAATGAAAAAAATTCATTTGAATGAATAAATTCTGGTAAACTTGTGAAAATAATAGCATCACATTAGAAGCATGTCTCATGCATATTTTTCCCAACACATACATCTAATGAGCTTTCTTTAGTTTCACACGTAATGTTAATTGGTTGCACGTGAAGAGTTCAAGAATATATCTGACATAAAAATATCCTGTACAAAACATTTAGAAATTGAGATGCTAATTGTATTTAGATGTAAGCAATTAAAATTTAGCAGAACAAAGGGGAAAAAGTAAAGTCCTTAAAGTAAATATTGATGTTTTTTAGTAGATTATTTTAGCTAATGAAAGTATTCCTGCCTCACACCACTTCTACCCATGATGTTTCCTATACCAGTAAATTCTTGTGGATATTAGTAGTTTATGACTTACCAGTGGAAACAAGTCTCTACATAATTAACTGCAGTAGATAATAAATTTGATTGTCAAATAATGCTATAAATAATCTTTTGTACAAGAATAAAGAATGATTAATTTTTCTCTTTATAAAATATTTTCTATAAGGAACAAATTTTTAAATATAAAACTAAGCTCTATAGCCTACTAAGGCATCAGAGACTGTATTTTAGCATATAAGCATCACATATGGACATGGATATCTTAAAATACAGATACTGATATATTCATTAGCAGTAACATATGCATTTATTTATAATTAATGATGTTATACTTAATAATTTTCTTGTGTTTTGTCTGGGATATCCTCAAAATTTTAAAAGCTAAGAGAACTTTGTTTCAATACTAAATGCACACTTAATTAGAATAAGAATACATTTTTCTTTAGGACCAATTTTTCAAAATGTGTTGAGGAGCTCAAGCTAACTCACAACTCTTATTGAATCCTTAATGAATTTAACCATAATACTTAACTATAATACCAATGCTATTATCTGGAACATGAGGTCTTGAGGTAGGAGACCAAAGGGACAGAAATAATAGGAAGAAGAAAAAAACATTTCCTTTATTTCCTTTCTGCAACAGAGCTGCCCACGGGCATATTTTGGAAGAATCACATTCTTCTTGATCATCAGTAGGTGGTGTTGTCTTCCCAAACTCCCAGTTACATTGATATTCGAAGACATGGCAATACCCCAATCAGGGGAAATGGCAAGGTGATAGGAAAACCCTACTTTATATCAATTAATATTTTGTTTGGCTGCATATATATCACAAAATAAGTGAAGTAGCTTTAGGCAAAGGAGATATGCACATACATAATCCAGAGCTAATAACCGGTTTCATGGTTATCAGGAATTTGCCCCCCCCCCCGGAGTTTCTCTTTCAAACCCAGAAAATATTTTTTTATCCTTAACATTACTTCAAAGAGTAAGGTAATTGCTGGAGGTCCAGACATAGCCTTTATGTTCTAGGAAGAAGATGAAAGAAACAAGAAAATGTGAAGTGTGTCCTCTCCAAGATGAATCATTTTCCTTTAAGGAATCCTCTCTTTACAACTTATTTGCTAAAACCTATACATCTGCCACATTTGACAGCAATGGTTGCTGGAAAACATTGTATTTGAGTTGCATCTTTTATCATCCAAAATAAAATTGTGTATCTGTTGCTGTGGGAAAAGGGAAAAATGGATCCTTACAGTCAATTAGTAATCTCTGCCATATTCCCTCAATGTTCATGGTCCTGGTTTCTTGCCTCCTTTTCTACTCAATGAAGCTATTATCTCAATTCAATTAAAAAAAAAAACCTTTATATTATGGTAATAATTGTCCTAGAGCAATGGTTCTCAACTGACATAAAAATAGGGTTAGTGATGCACACTAACAGCTCTTGGAGTGTATTTCAAAAATTACAATGCCCAGGCAATTCCCAACCCAATTAAGTCAGAAACTTCAGCAATGAAACAGATCTCAGTATTTTTTTTTTAAATCTCTAGGTGATTCCTGAATGCATCCAGGTTTGAGAACCACTGTCCTAAAGAAATTTTAAAAGATGACAGATAACCCAAATGATGCCATATTCTATCATATTTTTCTTCTACATAATGAAGTAATATAAAAAAACTGCATGCCTTGAGTACACAAAAAGGTTTGTGAGTGGAGACAATTCTCATGGTTGTGAGTTGTTTACCTTTCTGTTCTAGAGTTTTCTGTTCTGGAGAGTCAATTGTCAGTCTCTAAACTGATAAACTAAGTCATTCTGTATCAATGCAACCCTCCCTCGGGTCATATTATTCTCAGCAAGGATGTTGCAAGTGAGAAAAAAAAGAGGTCGAAATATTCATCTGTTCATTCAAAAAAATACTATTCAGGTACCTACTCTCTGTTGGACACTGCTAAAAGGGTCTCGAATATTTGTATGAGGGCAAGGAATATGTTTATCATTATTTTGTTTCACAACCTAGAACAGTTCTTAACACCCAGTATGTAGTCAATAATAGAAAGATTTTCTGATTGAATTTTTAAATGAATTTAAAAACACTGAAGTTAGAAAGGTAGATGAGAGATACACTGAAATATTCATTAGCAGCTGCTTTTACCTTAAGGATTTGCAAACCAAGTAAAATTCTCTCCCTTTTTTCAACATGTGTCTGTGTCTCTGCAGGTTGTGATTTGATCCCAGTACAGTATCTTCGGTGGGGTGACCCTGAGCCCATTGCAGCTGTGGTGTTTGCCTGCCTCGGCCTGCTGGCCACCCTGTTTGTTACTGTAGTCTTCATCATTTATCGTGATACTCCAGTAGTCAAGTCCTCCAGCAGGGAACTCTGCTACATTATTCTTGCTGGTATCTGCCTGGGCTATTTATGTACCTTCTGCCTCATTGCGAAGCCCAAACAGATTTATTGCTATCTTCAGAGAATTGGCATTGGTCTGTCTCCAGCCATGAGCTACTCAGCCCTAGTAACCAAGACCAACCGCATCGCGAGGATCCTGGCTGGCAGCAAGAAGAAGATCTGTACCAAAAAGCCCAGATTCATGAGTGCCTGTGCCCAGCTGGTGATTGCTTTCATTCTCATATGTATCCAGTTGGGCATTATTGTGGCCCTTTTTATAATGGAGCCTCCTGATATAATGCATGACTATCCAAGCATTCGAGAAGTCTATCTGATTTGTAACACCACCAACCTGGGAGTTGTCACTCCTCTTGGATACAATGGATTGTTGATTCTGAGCTGTACCTTCTATGCATTCAAGACCAGGAATGTTCCGGCTAACTTCAACGAGGCCAAGTATATCGCCTTCACAATGTACACCACCTGCATTATATGGCTGGCCTTTGTGCCAATCTACTTTGGCAGCAACTACAAAATCATCACCATGTGTTTCTCAGTTAGCCTCAGTGCCACAGTGGCTCTAGGCTGCATGTTTGTGCCGAAGGTGTATATCATTCTGGCCAAACCGGAGAGAAACGTGCGCAGCGCCTTCACCACGTCTACCGTGGTGCGCATGCACGTAGGGGATGGCAAGTCGTCCTCCGCAGCCAGCAGATCCAGCAGCCTAGTCAACCTGTGGAAGAGGAGGGGCTCCTCTGGGGAAACCCTAAGGTAAAATGTGTGGGGGCACAGTGGGGTGCGCTGCTACACCAGAAGCAGGGGCATTTGCCATCTTAATATGGAGACACCCGAGTGAATGAAGCAATGGGGGGAAGAGTGCCTTAAGGCTTGGGACCTATTCTTTGAATGTTTTTTGTGAGGTGAATAAAATGCAAGTCCACTTATTTGGGCCAAAGATAAAACATATGGAAGTTGAGATTGCAGATAAAGCAAAAAGGTATAGCCAAAGCAGAGTGAGTTCAGGGAAAGCGGAGTAAAATCACTGGGCCAAGACAAAGATCTCCAGGTCCTGAGGGCACAAAGATATATTAAGAACTAAATTTTAGCTCACAAGACTAGAGAAGATTATTGTGAATAAATATTATCCTAAGAGCAAAGTGCCAAGAGTCTTATGCATCTGACAGCACTTGAATGTGCCTGAACCTTTATTGAAACTGAGAGGAGCTCTCAACTGCTCATCACATAAAGACTTGAAGATGTAATTACATTTTAGTTTATAATAGGTAAGTTGCACTCTTTGAAAAATGTCTGAATAGCTGAAAATAGCAAAAATAACCAAATAACTTTGCATGTAACTCTTTTAACTCATCAATTTCCCAATTCTCTTTTACCTGTTGTCCCATCACACCCTAAGTTCACTATCATGAACAGCAGCTATTAGGTGATTTCTGTCTGAAAGCAATCTAGATGCAATAGCCAATAAATAATTTCCACACTGTTAGGGTCTTTCTTATGTTATAACTGACCCGACACTTTAAATAACATTGAGATCATATTATCAGTGGCTTGAGAAAAATTTCAAGGTATTAAAAAGGCTACATAGATTGTTGACAAGGAACTTCTTATTCCACAGATCCATAGATTGGGAATAAAGATTTCCTCTATTTAAGAAGCACCACATCAAAAAAGCTAGTCAGGGCATCAGTCCCAAAAAATCTACTAGGGATTTAACAGTATTTCTAAAAGCTGGATAAATATAACAGAAGATAAATATCTTTTGAATGGAAGATAGATCTCTAAACAATATTGCTTGAACTAGTCTCCTATACCATCATTTTTCCTGCATGAAAATCCTACTTTTCAGTTGCCCTACTTTTTCAAAGCATGAATTATGTGATGGTAAAGATACTGCCTCCATCAAGTTTTGGAAACGATTCACAGGATACTTGAAGAAGTTTATCCATGAGGCCCAGTTATTTGTATTATAAACTTTTACCCATACCTCATTCCATTCCTTCCTCTTTCTGCTTCTCATCTCTTTCCTTGCACATTGTGCAAGATATCCATCAAATCATAAATTGTATCTTTCCTTTCTTCAATAAATCCCAGCAATGCTGTGGTTTGTACACAGAAGACCTTCCATATACCTCACCTTCCAGCACATTTTCTATCCATCTTCCTGACTCCTCTATGAAACATTCTTTTCCTAAACTTCTGCAGGATCAGCTTTTCATTTTTGGCCAAGAAAATTTTTTACAAAACTTTTATTTTATCACCCTTTATTCAAACAAAATCTTCCAGAGAAGTCTAGGAGATATCGAAAACAGACAATTTGGCATAGGGAGGAATTGTGAGTCTCTTTCTCAGCACTCCCAAGAACTCATCAGGGAAGGCTCCTTAGAGAGACAGCCTGAAGTAATGGCAAACAACACTGGTTGTGTAACGTGTTGTCCTTAGTTTGAACACTGGCAATGGCATTTCCTCTCTCTGCACCTTAATTTTTTCATCTGATAAATTGGGATCACTGACTTCAGAGGACTATAAAGAATGAAGGAGATAAATGTCTGTAAAGATTTGACACTAATAGATAACTTTACTCAAGGTAGCAGAATGCTATGCTAGAAAGCACTGGACTTGTATCCTGGCAAACTCAACTACCATCAGTGTTATCTTAGGCAACTTCACATAACCTCTCTCTCTGTTTCAATCCTCACCTCTGTTAAAGGAGGATCATGAAATACATACTTTGTAGAGTGTTTGTGAGGACTAAAACTAAAACATGTAATATCTGCCACATAGTAATTCTTAAGTATGTTATTTTAACTTGACAGTTGACAGTTGTCAGCATTCCTTCATACCTGAAAGTCACGGTGTCAGAAATGTAAGCAAGATGATATTAATAATTAAAAGACCCTCATAAAGGCAATACATATCTGTAGAGGCTTTGCCTATTCAGTCTGAATTTCTCACGGCATCTCCATCTTTGCAAGGTCTATTCCTTGCCAAAATGCCTAGCACACTTGTGTTTCAGCTTAAGCAGTGTTAGCTCCTTGGAAGTGGGATCTTGTCCACAGTACTCATCACTGTGTCCTCAATGCCTACCTATACCTAGAAGGGTGCATCATACATAGAAGATACTCAATAATGATTCGTTGGTATGTTTGATGAATGAATGAATTTCAGAAAGGGTTATATAATAGGTATTTTTTATTTTGCTTGTCTCTAAGTGTGCATACTACTCCTCAGTGATTCTATTAACTTTTATTAGGTTAAGTCTGCACTGTACTGTATTGCAATATCCCTCATGTTTTTGTAGTCATTAGTCTCTGCTCAAGAATTGGGTCACTGATCATGTTAGATATCATATTCCCCTAGTAACACTTGATCAATATTTTCAACTATTTTGTTTCTATGTTGGTAAACAAAAGCACAAACAAAAAACAAGAGATTTTACTGATAGTGCTAATAGAAACAAAATTTTTGAGGATTTTGTGACAATGTTTCACCTTGCCCTGTAGTTCCTGATGATCAGATATTGTAATCAGTACATTTGGGTATTAAAATCTCAAAAAGGGCAAGGAGGGACTTTTGATAGTTTATGGGTTTTCTTTTTTATGATCTTGAATAAACCTCAGCCCATCTACATGATTATAACTGAGAGACATTACAATCTAATTATGTAGAGATTTTTTTTGGCCATTAATTAAGATATGTAGGCTGGAACCTGCTATTGATATGGAGAAGAGATAGGGCAGAGAAAGAGATCATCCTCTTGCATCACATACATTCCTGTTACTCTCTTAAGCTGCAGTCCTCAGAGAGAGATGAAACTAAACATCCTTTCCTCTATGGTTTCCATCAGCCCCTAATCTAATATTTCTTTTCTATGACACAAAATCAGTATGTTCAAAGTGCTAATCTAGCATTTATCACATTGTAGGATACCACTAGTTATGCTAGAATTTTACCTCCCCTTCAAATTTGCAATTGCACATAGGTCTGTGTGTATCACATTATCTGTCGCACTGGAGCTTAAATAATGGGGAATAAATGAATGTGAGTGTTAGTAATAACTGCACATCATTCCTGTTTTGAGCATTAAAAGAGGTAGTATGCACTAAGTGCTTAGTACCACCACATAAAAATTACTTAATATATTATAGCTAAACCTTTAAAATCAGATTTGACTGTGAGGAAGAGAAAACCTATTTTAAGAGGCTATTGAATCTATTTTAAGAAAACCTATTTTAAGATATTATTTGTTTGAGTTTCATATTCTTTATGGTACAAGAAGCATGGAGGCCCAGCATGTGATGTTGGCTTAGAGATGTCAGTGCCAGCACCTCTGCCATTCTCTTGGCCGACGGCTGCAATATAGCTGTCATGACTATGAAATGCATCCTTTTTATTAGGAGGAGTGCATATCTTTTCAAGTCTTATAAGAATTTGCCCTTGTATCTCATTGTTTGAGAGTGTGTTAAAGAGCTGCAATAGGACCACAGGAAAGTGTGCACTTAGCCTTGTCAGCCTCTTCAATGGAAACCACATGGGAAAAGGGATGACATTACTCACTGGAGAAGCCAATGAATTATGTCTGCCACAGAAACTGGTAGTACCTACTAGTAATAGTGGCCATAGTAATAAAAGTCAGGAATACAGGAAAGAAAAGGAAGTAAAGAAGTAACACAAAGACTATTAAGAAAAAGTAAAAATTAGAATAGTCTCCCAAAGTAGTTTATTATCCACTGACCATATTCTGCCACCTTGAAAAATATTTATTACCCTAACATTTATAATTATCACAAACTATTTCAAGAGGAAGCATCATCCTTCTCATTTTTCAGATGAGGAATTTGAGGTCCAGCATAGATCAACCTGCCTGTCATCTCATGATTGGTAGGTGATGGAGCAGTTTTTAACTCAAGTCTTAGCATATGGTCACTAAAGTTGAACATTTCCCACAATATATTCTTTAGAAAATATCTCACAGATTACTCCATGAAACAGAATAGTTTGTGAAATCATCTGGATAAAAAACACAATTATTTTATTAGATAGGAAGACTGAAGAGTTTTACAGATCAGAAACCACTAATTTATTAACAATCTCCAATCATTTTCTACACTTATTGTACATAGGACCATGTTTTTCATAATGTTATTATGAAGAATTGATGCTCCTAGGGGCTCTGTTTGAAAAACATCATCACACCTAAGAAGATGACATGTTTATGGTGCCTTGAAGAGTAGTTCATATTTACTGAGTCAGTAGCTGGAGGAACCAATATCTATCTCTGGTCATGGGGACAGAATCACTTTGAGATCTCTGAGAGCCTAAGGAAATAACAGAGCTAATTCTAACAGATCTAGCAGTTTTTGTGAGGTTAAATGGGCTCACCCTAGAGCACACAGAAAAGTGCCCAGAGTCAGTCATTTGGTTCACTGAAATAGCAAAGAGAGATTTTTATTTAAATAGGAATGAGTCACTATAGATTTTTTATACACAAGCATGCTATTTATGCCATCAATGTATAGAGGTCCCTGTGATTAACATTCTGGTTCTAGTCACTAATTTCCAGCATGACATGGAGCAGCATCAAATCATTGTCAAGCAGATAATGCCAGGCTTCTGTTTAAGGCATTCACTTCAGAGGCAAATTGACAAATGAACACAAAGCCTTTTCTGACCTAAACAAAGCATTTAATCTGATGAGTCCAAAGTTCTGGTTCTACAAGATGCAGAATTTCCAGCGACATGGGGCTGGAGCTTTAAAATATAGTGGGCCTTTTATGACTAAATTAATGACAGAGGCCTAAAGCTCTAAATAACAAATTTTCTCAAAAGGTGAAACCCTCTCTTGGAATTCTAGTCAGGTGTAAGAATCATTAGTGTTGTTGCCTCCACTTTAACTTAATTTTAGAAACTATCATTTGCCACTTTTGTTTTAATTAAGTAATTAACTTTGCTTTAATTAACATTGTCATGAGGGCTCACTTAGGCTGTCTACTGAAGCAACTGCTAGCCTTTCCATAT